TTTTGAGCACGTTACGAATATGGGCCACTAGTAAAATTAGTCGTATATTATATAATATATTCGCATGATTCATTTAGGCTGGCTTCTGGGGAGAGCGTGACGAATGGCTGTCAAACTCCCAACAAGCAGATCTATATATGTGTTACATACATACACCACTGCTACTGTCTTTCTGATAAAGTCATCGGGAAAAGTTCTAAAAGATGAGCACACGTGTCAGATTTGGTGGCACAAATAATCTGTGTAGTGGAAATCTTTTAGGGTTAAATTATTCTAATAGGTACACTGTGCGCATTATCAAGACTAACTAGATAATAGAGATACAAACTTCATAGTACACTAAACATATATAAAAAAAATTAACTTGGAGCACGCAACCTGCCTATGCTTCGTATATAGCCGTAAAAAAGAAATCTGTCACCAACTCAAGATGCTGGCAATATCCTAGCTGCAGAATTCAAAACATTCGCTATAAAAAAATTACCTCTTTCTTCGCTGACAGTAAACAAACACGGGAACACTTTTCTAGATTTACCGCCACTTTTTGGGATGCATAAAAAACTCTAACGAGCCCGACAAATGCGAACCAGCTGTTGAAACATTATCACCCCTAGAGGGCAGTGGAAGCAGTGGACATGCAGTACGCTCTCACACAGTAGCACGGACGCGCCCCATACCTCCCGCACACACGGTGCCTAAACATTCCAAGCAGATTTTCTTCGCGTTGAAAAAAACTGACACCTATCGCAACAATTTTAGTATTTTTTCCAGGCTAACGATCCGCGGCACCGACAATGGTTTAACAGGAAGCCTATTACACACTGGCTGCTGGCATGTCGGTTAAGCTCGCTCTACCCTCCTGAAACGGTCATACGTCAAAAATAGTCTGTGGTAAGCGGTGAGAGACACCTAAACGAAAGAGGTTAGAGTTAGGGTTAGGGATAAGGTACCGTTACTGGCGTTAGTCACACCGCCTGGTAGGGCTAGCATTGCTGAGGCCCACCCCTACACACGGCCGCGTGCATAACCGCTCATCGTTACACACGTTACCACGGCCGTGAACGTGTTATGTGCGTGTACACGGAAACCCCGAACAGCCTCTGACGGACGACCTCTTGCTTAGCTTAGAGATGGATGCCAGTGACGAGGTATGTGAGGTAATCTACATACGGTCTATGCCTGCTACCAGAGCCGTGAGCGCTCACGGCGGTGTCAGGTTGCCGAGTCTTGCAGGCAACGCATCCCCTCTCACCGGCCATTCGATGCAGAACGACCCCAATCTACACCATGGATGTAACACACACCCGGCCCCGGGTTACGGGGTAATGAGGGAGCGAACTTAGTCGCTAGTGTGAAGCTGTTAGTTAGCTGCTAGTTAGTTAGCTACGCGTGGAAGTTCTACTCGGAATAATAGCTGGTTTTACATACAAAGGAAAACAACTTCCTATCCCCTCACCTATATATGTTCCGTTCCTGCCTCTATGTCTTGGTTAGGGTACGATCTCATTTCTCCTCATTTAGAATACATACAAGTACTTGTGCATTTATATGTCCACACTTACTTGCTGTCATGATTAACTAAGCATTGTAAAGCAATTTAATTACGCGTATATGTTTACGACACTGTAGATATTAACCAGTTTACCTCGTCCCTGACAGAAAGTTAACCTACTATCGCTTATACCCGACGGTATCACATAAACCCAATTGATTCCTTTTACTGAATTACCGAAGATGTAATTGAATGCATTGACTATCGGAGTCACTGCATTATGCTTACTACAGGCCCTATGTATACGTGACTGCTTTCTGGGTCAGGTCTCATGATATTTAAGAAAGATGTAATGCAATTTACAGCCTCTGACCCCAGCTAAACTTTGAGCATGTAGACCCAATGTCACCAACATCTCGTAGTCAAAGCTACCGGCTATAAAACGGTTCTCTTATTAATACACGGTTTTATAGGCACTAAACTTACGCACGAGTCGCGACATTATTTACATATCAACAATTAAATATTAATAGTTAATGACATTTTTTATTATCATGCTATTTAGATTGGAATTATGGTTGTGTCACCGCTTGCGATGCTCAAATATATGTAACTATCCCATTTCACCGATTTTGGTGATTACAAATACCAGTAAGGATCACTGAGTCAAGTTCTATTTATACAAAACAGCAAACACGATGCCAAGGTTTTCCGGATTACGCATTCATCTGTGCATATTCTACACAAAAACAGATTCAGGATATTTAATTAGTACGTGCAGCTTCCTGCAGTCATTTCTGCTGTAAATCTAAAAGCATCTTCGACAGCTAATCTTAGCACATGTATAGATCAAATATACAGTCATGGTGGATAATATAAACTGTATCTTCAGTATTTAAAGCGCTTGGTGTAGACAAGCCTCTACATCCACGGCAGTACCTCGTCACCATAGAGAACACATAGAGAACACATCTCACAAAGAAACCTAGATTACATTTACTGTCTCCGCCTGAAGAGCTAGAAATAGAAGTCTCTTCTATCGGTTCGGCTCTGCATGACCTCATACAAGGTCATTTGAGAGCCTAGGAAGTGAGTGTGAGGTAGGGTGAGGTGGAGTGCGGGGTGGGGTGAGGGGGCCACAATGAGTCAGTTGCTCCAAACGTCACCACAGCAACTGGAAAAAATAAAAATTACTGAATATGCAGCAGAGAAATGCTAACACATACATAAGTGTTCCATTGGGAAGTACATGGGTGCATATATGTAACGTCATTAGGTTAATTAAGTATTATTCACGTTTATCTGTGCGGCTTCTGCCAGAGATTCTCTCTAGCCTACCCTCTCCAACGTAAAAGTTACACCCCACCCCCCTGGGCAGTGCCACGAGGGGACATTTGCACTAAGTTAGTCACACAAACATCTACTGGTGTTTATGTTGCCTTACTGTTGCCTATCGCTTACAAAGACAACACATATCCCCGGATAAATTGGCGCTTGCTAGGAGTCTAGCATGCCAGCTGGGATGCGCGCTCAGCATCAGAATGATCTGCCGTGATGGGCTCGCTCTTTGCAGACAGATCGCTGCACAGATAAAGGCTTCCGCTACTAAGCTAATCCTTACATCTCTAAGCAGGTTTGATTGAAATCCTACTAATGCGTATTAGTTTCTTCATCGTTACATCGCGTTTACGAGGGATCGGTATATCTTCTCTGTCGTTTTCTATATAAATCACTTCTCGCCAAATTCATTTACGTCTACACACGGTTTTAATTACAGTACTTTTTTTATTATAATGATTTAGATAAAGTGAGAAAAATGTCTTGTCGTGATAGTCATGAGTGTTTGTTGTCTTTATTCCAGAGTTCACAGAGCAGCAGTTCGATCTGCATTCTTATCTACACGCAGAACACCCACAAAGAAGCCGGTCATTAACTCACATCCCTGTTCACTCTTCCAAGACGCTGCACCCATTACTAATGCGAAACCCTAGACTGGTCTTCCGTAACGAAACTACACGCCTTGCCACATGCGGGAGCTCAAATGCTTCAGCCGTCCCGCCGTAGTATAACTTTCCGGTGGGCTACGGGCCTTCCCCTCAGACCCGTGTGAGCGGGTGTAGACCCGCACGCTGCTGCCGGCAAGCACACGCAGTGACCCTCGTACCAAAATGTCAGTTACATCTGGTGTAAAATTAGTCGTCTAAAAAGCGCATCGATCATCGCGTGTTTTGACGATCGGCACAAACAGTCGTACATGCTGAACCCGATCTCTCCAACATCTCTCCTGCATCTCTCCTACACGCAGGGAAACGCGCATACTTGCGCTGGATAGAGTCTCCGATTTGGCAGACTCATGCCATCGCAACAGCTGCACCTGCAATCCTCAGCAATGAATCTCCCTCCCAGTTCGCGTTGGAGTAATGGTGATCTTCATAGATACGTCCACGTGGAAGCACATGTCCAGTTTGACAACATTCTCTCCCTAGTACTCTAATACCAATAACCTCTTAGACTTGGATTAACAACCTAGCTATTGGATAGAGGTTCTTGAGACCAAAAACCTCTACAACGCTGAAGACCAATAACCCCTTATTCTTGCTTGTGTGTGTGTGTGTGCGTGTGGTCCACAGAAGACTGATGGAATCACTTGGAATGGGGGATATAAACAAATCAGTACAATAGTTGGCCTGGTGAGTGACCACCCCCTAACCAGATAAGTACAAAGGCTTGCTACTATCCCATTAGAATGTTTAGCACGTCTTTGTCAGCCAAATGTCTTAATCAGTTAGCACATAAGAGCGATGTTTGCTTGTGAATGGTCAGAGCCCTCCCAAGGAGGCTGGCATAACAACAGACCTTTTGTAAGTCTCAGGCATCACAGTTGGGTATGCAGCAAGTGCACAACATTTAGCTGCTGTTTTCTGCCTGTTTTTACAGCAACAGTAGAGAGTTTTTTTTACTTGTATACATGATGCATGGATCTGAAAGAAAGATACGTTGTTTCTATTTGTAACTAATCACACACATATACTACAATAAATAACCTTCATTGGGAATAACTACAACCTATGCACTTACAAATCCTAATGACTAATCCGGGTAAGAGCTGTTATTTCTTTCTATAATTGGAATGTAGAGTATATGCACTAGCAAGAACATAAAAATCCGTGGCACACGGTTAAAAATTAACACTGTGAGTCTGTGTCTATGTTACTGGGGACACAATCAACGGTGCACCACCATAGCAATGCAGATCACATCATGGAATACGAATAGCTATTACTATTAGTTAGATGGGTTAATTACTGTCCCCGGTAACATTGTGGCTATAACCTCTAATTAATAACGGTTATAGAGAATAGACGCGATTATTATGAGTCGATACAAATTCAAAGACGGTAATCGACTATAATTGAGTGTTTACGTGTGTTCGCTGCACACGAGTATGTACATGTAGTGTGTACCTAGTAGTAGTAGTAGTATACTATAGCCTATAGGCTATACTTACGTCGATGAGTGTGAACTAGTCGATAGCTGGTGTTGGGCTACGGAATATCCAAAATACGTGCCTTTCCGACCTTCCTTGACGATCGCAAGCTTCGTTTCCAAATTAAATGCATAACCGTTTGTGACAATTACCACAGCAATCAAAGCTCTAACTAGATATACCATTCTGATGATTTAAACTTGTCCGCTGCACGAGTGCGAATGAACTCTCATAGTTCGCGCCGCTCAGCTTGCTGGCAAAATATCCAGGGGAAGTCAATGTGGCGCCATCTATCGACGGTATATGTCGAAAGTAATAAAATTGCTAAAAAAAATTGTCATCGAAAGTTTCTGCTTTCATTACTAAAATCTTAGTAGCTGTCGAAGACAAAAGGCTTCGCGTATAGCTCTCAATGTCATACGGGAATCTCTACCTGCTCAAGTATTACTCGAGGCATACTCTTGAAATCTGTTGAAAAACAGTTGAAATTCTGTATAACATCAAGTTGATGAAATACTACACAGCTTCCGTACGTGGTATAAATGATAAATATATAAATTTAATCATCGCATGATGATTAATTTGATAAACTTCATATATTATAGTATTTTGCTTAGAATATTAATATGTTTTTTCACGGATAGAAAAACAAAAGTTCGAGTTTTTATTAGCAGGCATAATTATTATTGCTGCTATTCAATATTTCGTTCATCTGTATTAGTGTATAAGAAATTCATCCATTTATCACAATTTGTAAATTAAATATTTCTACTACACGTTGTGTTTTGTATCACATTGAACCGAAATAGTTTGATCGCAACCAGAAATGGTTTCACCTTGATAAAGGGTAAATTTGATTTGTCTATGATATAGCTGCCCTTGTATATACCATACTAAATGATCGGTATGTCTTTATTCAAATAATAAAAGTGCGAAGAACAATCAAAAGGTAAAATTTCATGACTTCAAAGTTTTTTGTTTTTTTTAATAAATGTTTATTTTTTGGCTTAATTGTCTTACATAAAGCAGAGCAAATATTGTAAGCTTATTGCAGAGCTTACTGGAAGCTGGTGCCCTCTCTTAACTTCGCGAAGCAAGTGAACGTTAAAGTAGACTTCGTGTGACGTCATGCGACCCGCGAGTGGACACACAACAAAGTAATTTTAGGAAAATTTCCGTTGTTGTGCACCTTCGTGCGTACTTGATTTTACGATTTTTTGTAAACAACTGCAAAGGAAAAATAGTAGAGACGTCGATCCAGCTGTTATGGTGCAGTAACCATGTGAAATTCGAGTGGGAATAGACAAAATTGTCCCTTGAAGTCGGATGATGTTCAGCAGCGAATCTCCAACGCCATCTTGGAACCCTACCCCCACGTCTGTAGGCAGTGCAAAAGTGGGGACCTTTGCGAGACCATTGCAAGACGGTACATATATACGATGTTCTTCTTTTGAGAAATAGTCAAAGTTTCTATTAGTGTGATGACAATTTGTTATAAGGTTGCAGTGTGAAAAATTTAATCAACGCAAAATACCCGTCGACGTCACCGGCAAATAATTTCGTATCAGTCAGGGATCAGTTACGGTTTCCTGGACCCTGGTGACATTCAGTGATTCACATTGTCAATCACGAAGAAACAAGATGTTGACAACCATTGCCGATACATGTGGGAATTATGTAGTAGCTATTTTTGCCCGAGAATCTGTGACATTCACTCCAATTCATTATTGTCAATGACGCATTGATACCTATGCAGTGACAGTGGCAATGGTAAGAATACTAAGATAGTCAGTCATATAACCAGTGCCTCTGGTGCTAAGTACCGTACTCAATGAGGAGAGAGTTACCATGGTGCCTATTACAACCATAATAAATGCACACAACTGTACAGGTGGTTTAATAAGTCTTATTTTGAAAGAGCAGCGCTACCTACGAGTATAAGTTTCTGGGGGAGGGGCTAGGATGAGAAGCAAGGGGGCACAAGTCATGCGCCAGCCTGTAATGGATACGTGAATATCTATCTGCATCTTTCCATCTTGCATCCATTGCATCTTCCATCATTGCATCTTGCCATCTTTCCATTATTAATGGAAAACCCGTGTAATAATAGTCATACAATAATTATAGTAATATAATCGAATCTAAATTATACACACACCAACACATAACGTTATTGCTATATAGTATTTATTTGAATTTAAATCATATATGATTCTGTTTAACATATATATTATATTATGGGCCGAGTTCGTATCGGCCGAGTTCGTATCGGCCGAGTCTGTAATAGGCCGACTTCGTCAATGGGACGACACTGCTATGGGACGAGTGGACCCGGCGCCCTATCTGCATAGTGACATACAACTGAATTTAGCATGCCTTTACATTAACGAGAATACAAAGTAGCATGGTGACACTAATACCATCTCATGTGTCATATATGCCTTCAACACAGGGTAGATATCACGTTTAAAAGTTTATTACAGCGATATCACAATGTACCCTGATGTCTTTATATATGTGGCATTACTAATTCAAGTATGCATATAAGAAGATTATTACTATCTTAAATATACCCTAATAATACTAGTCCTGTGCTACTGTAAAGTTACAGGAGAAAGCTGGCTCATTACCCACACATTTAATCAAGATTAGCTTTTCATTTTCGAAGTGAGTGACAATATTTGACAGTGCAGTTGTGGTTTGTGTGCATATATGTGTGTGCGCGCATGCATGCGTGCGTACATTTCCAATAATTGCTATGAATTTAATGAGACTAATGCTGTCTAGTTAGTTTTGCTAAGTGAGAAATTCTCAGTAGTCAAAAACTATCGTATTCATTTACAGCTGAGTAGATTACAGGAACAGTTAGCTGGATGTACAACTAGCATTTCATAATCAATAAAACTGTTACGTATTCAACTAGGATTTTAGCTGTTAGAAATGCCTCGTTTAAAATTGGTACTGTACATACAGTATGATCAAATGGAAATTCTCCAGCAGGTTTTTCATTGTGTATGATTGTTACATATTTTGTGTTTATCATGTATAAAACCACATTGTACTACATATTCGTCTTCACTATTAAATCCTAACCAGTTATGTTCCATGTTTTCTTATATCTTATTAGTCTCAAAGGCATTATTTTAACCTTAACATTGTGTGTGTGTGTGCATGTCTGTGTATTTTTGTTTCACGAATAGCGTGGGTTATAGGGCTATAGTACAGATGAGATTTATGTGGTATGAGTTAAAGGGATAAAACTTCCACATCCCTAGGGGTTATTACAAATAGGAAATTTTACAGGAGACTTAGAGAGAACTACAGTCAGACCTGTGTTAGTGGAAACCTTCAGAGAACGAACATCTATTCATATAATGGTCACTATTAGCATTTCTCTGTAGTGATAGTTATATAGTGAAACCACCTGTGTGGAATGGACATAAATTATATCTATAAAGGTCACATACCTCGGGTATTTATAAACGCATTTATCTCGAGTTGCAGTTATACAGTTGTACCACTTCAATAGAACGGTCACTAGTTTATAGGGCACTTGGTGTTTTCTTTGAGTGAACTCTTATATACAGATTTGACTATATATTTAAGCCACCAGGTCGCTGACATAGATAAGCTAATACTGATTTATGCTGGGTTTCATGATACTGATTACAATCGCGAGAAATTTGTTATGGCAGATAATTTAAGAGTTTAAAAAATGTTCATAATTCCACTTGATTTTAGTTTAATAGCATTGCATAAATTCTACAGGACAATATTTGAGAAGTTCATGGACTTTTACAGACGTCTATTCTTAACCCAATCTGCTTCAATGTGTTACATTAATATTCTTATGTAATTACTTCTAACCGCGTAAACTAATGCATTAACAATTTTGTCCTATTATTTACTCACCAGTTCATCAGGTATGTTACACCATACTTTATTAATGTCAGTAGTTGTGTAGACAGGAAAATTTACAGAATGTGCAGAAATACAGCAACATCTTTGGTGTTGTGTAAAGTTTCTATTTAAGAATTCAATTCATTCATACTGTTTACTGTACATGAACTGTAGAGGCTTTTACTGTTGACAGCTGAATATCAGAAGTATATAAAGCTGAGCTGGATTTCTGATATTCTCATCACATATAGAAGAAGCTATGCCTAATGCATTTTACATGCGGCTACATGTTGTTTGTTCATAATCCTAATTTATACGTGTGTGATTAGAAAAGGTTCTAGGAACATCTTCAAATATATGTGGGTGTGCGTGAATATGTCGCAGAAGCTAAACTATACCTCATATATGGCCATCAGGAGTAGATAATAGCAAGATAATGGGGAATTCCCTATTATCTACTCCTGATGGTCATGCAATTAATAGTTGTGAGTAGTTCCTGTATCTCTAAGGTTGGAACTTGGATAGTTGCAGCTAATCCTATGTGTTTGTGTGAGAAGGGAATTTTACTGTTGGCATATATAAACGCCTACCTATCTGTGTGCAATCCGTTTATGTCAACCTATTGAACCTAATATGTCCTAGATTATACGGATCTGCATGCACTGTATATGGCACAATTATACAGAATATTGACACATAGCAGGTAATTCCTGTTTCTTCATAACTATTACATTCTGCATAGTCATTGGATGTGTAAATATTTGCTATCTCATTAACTGCTCTCCATGTATGACAACAACGGGTAGATTTTGAACTATGAAATCGTTCAGTTGATGATGACTAGATATCGCTTAGATAAGCCCACTGTTTGATGACCCTTTCTACCGTGTAGTACATGTATGCACGCGTGACGGACCGGTAGAAGTGTATTGATGGATGGATGGGCGGATAGACAGATCGCTTGTGATTCTCGTTTCAGTCTGCTCCTATGCGAACACGAGAACCTAATGAAACGACTCCCGATTGCCAGCGGCGAAAATAAACACCCATAAGCAGCAGTCAATTACGTGCGTGAGCAAGCGCACTGGCTGGCACTGGCAGTCCAGTTAAATGTATCAATGGTTGTGTTGACATGCTAAGCCGTGTAGGGTTTGCACAAAATGGATGCCAGGGTATATGGTGTGAGCTACATTACATGATAATGCGTCGTTATAAGCTGCCACAATTGACAACTAGCTGAAGGTTGTCCGTGCCGACGTTGCTGCATGCAAAGTCGCGGGACGACGAACTGTTATAGCTCGCATCGTACAGCCATCTTGAATGCAGACGTAAAACTGCGTATGCAAATCAAATGGACAACATGTACACGCTGCGTGCGTGGCTGATGAGAGGGAAGAAAGGCAGGCTGGCTGGCTACGTGTGTACAGCGATGTGGGATCAGTCGCGATACGTGGTCGACGAGAAATCATTTGTCTGGTGTAGCTGTGCTGCGCTTAGCTGAGCTGCCATGCGTCAGCATCCAGCATCCAGCAGCCAGTCAGCACACACGGGGTCAGTAGCAGTCGCACTCTTCACCCCCACCTAGCCTTCCGCCTTGCCCCGGCGGGCTATATCTGGAACTGACCACATATTTTTATGGCCGTGTAAGAGCGGAAAGAGTCGGAGATGGTTCTGTCCCCGAGGCAAGGATGAGGTGGGGTTGGGTGCAGGGCAGTATCCAGGTGTAATTTGTACGTTGATAACATCATATAATATGTCACTCTTGATAACATCTATGATTATCACAGGCCCTGATTAATTTATTCGTGTGACACTGCCACTGGGAAAGGGGAAATGGTGATATCGGGTAACCGTGTAAAATTTGGAATGATGAGATATACCAGGTTTCGGTAAAATCGTGCTTGCAAACTCCAGGCACATGCCGCTCCGTTCCTAGCTACAGCAGAGCTCTGTGTATAACTACAGTAGCTCTCTGGGTAAAAGTCGTATATATACATGTAGAGCATTTGGTGACTATTTGAACAGCGTCAGTATTGAGCCATGCATGGCAAAGCTCTTTTGTCAAAATCGTGCGCTGGGAACTATCACTCTAATTTTCGACTGGTGATTTATTTTCCGTTATTTGCAACCCCTCTCCCCCGCTCCGTAATGTGCTGTACGCTACAAACAAAATCATATTAGTAATAAACTATGCCTCGGGGGCCACGAGGCAAAACTGTACCAGTGTTCAAAAGGTCAGTTTGCTTCATGCTCGTACATGTATACATGTAACTTGGCGTGAGGAGCTGTCTTGGCATTCTCGTCGCTCGGCACTGTTTGCTGTGAGCATCGTGATGTTTTCTGAATGTGGGAGGCGGTGCCTTCTTTGAGAGGGCGCCGGGTAACCGAGGGGGTAGCCGGGGGGAGCGGAGACAGATGCTAGGGGGGTTGGATGAGGAGAGAGCCGAGGGGGTGGGGTCGGGTGGGGGGTACAATGGGATAGCTGGGTGGGGTGGGGGTAGAGCCGCAGGGGTGGTTGAAGGGGTTGCTTATGGGGAAGCTGAGGGATGTGACTTGCACATCGTTCACGCTATGTGAGCATGTCCACCGAGCATTGGGACGATGTACAGTGTGCGACATGTGTGCTAATTATAAGTGTGATTACATGTGTAATTGTGATAATGCGTAATACTTGTAATACACGTGCCGCCAATTGTCACGAAGGTTCAGTGTCTTCTATGAAAATTCCACGGGAATATTTCTAGTAGATACATGTGTAACGAAGATCCAGATGTCGTTTGAAAGAGGGCTTTTCCGATGGAATTTTCAGTCGTTCTGCGTCTTTATTAATGTACAGTACATCAGCGCTGAATACATGAATAATTTTGTATGTACTCATGAATGCCATGGTTCAAGGCAAGTAAAGGGTTGATGGCGGTTACATGGGGATCGCTTGCCATACCCTCCACATGTGCAAACTTGCACCAAGCTAGCATCAAATGCGCACGTACTGTGTAAGCTGTAATTAAAGTTGAAAAGCTGTTAGGGCCTTTCAATGAAGGTAATTTCAATGAACACCTATTTCAGTAAATAATGAGCACCTGATACTCTTATCTTAAGCTCCCCCATTATCTACCTGAGCTGCATGTTTCATCTCGCGTGCAGGAATATTAATGTATACGTGTTACAGTGTACAGTGTACAGTGTACGTGTTACAGTGTACAACGAATAAACTGATCAGCTATATATATCCTATAAAGCTGCTACTGTACATGATCAGTAGTGTGTACATAATAGAGTCCGTAACTGGTAAATAAATACATCTTTCACAACTAGGACTCTTCAATCTCCAGGTCGTAGAAAGGTATGTCACTAGCTGGCCATCTGTATGTGTGCGGGCGTGTGCATGCGCGTGTGTGCACATGAGTTTGTTTGTCATGTGTCATAGCTGGCAAACGTGCATTGTTCTTCTCTTTCTGATAACATATACTTGTAGTACGCAAAATCAAGTGTAGACCTTTAGATCTACAGGGGAGCATTGATAAACTAGAATGAATGTGCACCAGAAGCATCTATCACAGTAACTGATTAGTGCCAGTGTAATGGTAAGGTACTAGGCAAATTACACGTGCATTGTTTTACGCGAGATGTTACAACTCTTTTGGAATCTATGAACTGATATTAGTTTTATGATGTTTTCAGTTTCAGGTACTTCGGCTTCTGAAAAAAACGTAGCCCTGGATCCGAGAAAGCAAGAGTTGCTGGAAGCAAGATTTTTGGGGTCCCGGGTAAGCAATAACCCCTCTGAAGAGTCTTATTATCAACTTCCAAGCTTACTGTAACACTGTTAAGCAGTAAGTAGCTCAAGTAGGTGGGGATTGGATTTTTAAACCTTTCTTGAGAAAATATTACGGGTAGAATTGCCTATCCAAAAATGTGAAAAGTAATTTTTCATAGTTATTTGAAGCTTACGGATTATGTATGGAATTTATGTATTATTAATAGATTGAACAGCACAATTATCTACCTGTTAAGTTACCTAAAAATAATATTTTCATGACAGCGACAATGAGTTTGGCATTTGCGCTTGCGGCCGCATCATTTTGCGTTCGCCATTTCTTTCAAACGAGTTTAAAAAGTACAGTGAAATCTTATCAAATTTAATTATGAACCTGTTCAGGTAATTACTATCACAAATCACATTTATTTTCCTCTGCAACGAACTTTCAGAGCAATAATTTGTTACGCGTTTGTAATTACGATGACGAGAAGAATCTTAGCTGAATATTGCCCAGTGAGCCATGACGATGCAACGTTTAAAGTTCTCGTGTGTGTGTGTGTTTATTCAGACGGTGTCGTTCGGACAGAACCAAGACTCGAACATGAGTGCTGCCAGCAACGTCTCTTCGAATGGTGATGATAAGACTGATAGCAACCAGCAGCTAGTGAGTGTGAAGCCATTCCGCGTCCTAATGATTCGACGTCCGCACCATCGACGTACCCACACTTGTAACCGCTTCTGATCTATACGATAGAAAATGTTCCAGAAAATGTTCAGGCGGTCCTTACTTATTAACCAAGTATAATGTTTGTTGTGAATTGGAGGCGTGGATAGGTTCTGCGGGTTGTAGCCAAGGAGTTGGCAATGAACAACTATGTTCAGCTTAAGGTAGTCATTGTCAAGGAACCATTTTTTTAGTGGAAAGATGCATTTTAATAAAGTTTCCATCCAATTGTAACATGCCTTAATGTTGCATCCGTACCCTGGGGATGTCTTAGGCAGGTATCAGAATTCACACCTGCACACTTTTCTGGGCAAGCAGATTTGTCAGAGGAGTGGAAGTAACTATCCATTTTTTCTTATGGAAATGCTGTTAGAGAAAACCTTTCGTCATGCGCTCATTCGATATTTTGCTGTTACGCTCTCCAATGTTGCTAAATGAACACATTTAGTATGAGATTGCGTGTTATCCTGCAGCTATAAATGGCTGTTAAATGTCTCCCTGGTAATCTTATCATCTGGAAAACATTAAACCTGCAGAGAAAATTAGATTTTGCCTGTCAATTTTCCAGGGGATTAGTAGCAATTTTTGTGTGTGATTCCCACACCAGCATACATGGTAGAACTTTGATACTCTCTTGCTGTAGACGCCGGATAAGATGAAGTCCCCAACGAGCGTGGAGAGAAAACGCAAGAGAAAGAATGCGGATCGTGAGATCTCTGCAGATGGACAGCAACCACGTGAGTCTCAGAACCCTCCCCCCCTCCCCCTGAGTCTGCCGGTAGTAGTCTGTCCCGGCCCGTTATGCTGGCTATGGGTTATAGATGGCGTCACAGTAGACAGAAAAGTGAGCGATCGTTTGTGATTTTGGCTTGTGGGTTTGTGTATGGTGCATCGCATGACGATGTGTTACTTATTACGGACGAGTCCAGAATTACCTTAACGATAAACAATTATTAAAATTTAGTGTAGAGATATTATGATAATGTATTGTTAATTAGTGTAAAATTATGCAATATTGGTAATTGTGAAATGCAGTGCTCTGCAGATACAAATTTCGTGTATGGTAGGATGTGTTATCATATGGTTTCTCTGAAGCTACTGACATCAAAGATCATGATGAAAAGAAATGTTTGCATTATAACCGGCATAATACTAACCTCGATTTCTTCACACAGCAAAAGGTTCCCAGACTGCCAAGAAAATTAATGAATATTTCAACTACAAGGTGAGTGTTCGTTGATTTTCCCCTGACAGTACTCTTCTGGCCAGAGTGCAAGATATTGTAACTTGGCTTGTGTTAAAGTAAAACGCACAGTCCCCCAATCAGAAAATAGCTGTCCATCAGTACTAGTCTTGTTTTTCTGGGAATTAGGGAAAATAGCGCCAGCTGTTTCAACGAAAAGTTATTTTTATTATTCCGTAATATACAGTTTGTAGGAGTCTGCTAAAATGCCTACATGTCTGTTTCAGATGTAAATAAGTGTAATGTGTATCAATGTGTGCACGAAAAGATCATTTACACCAACAGTTGCTCACCTTGCATATTAGATACAATAATGTAACCCAAACACAGGATAGGGTTACAACGCGAGCGTATCCTTTTGTATGGAGGAACCTCTGAGTGAATCACTCAGGACGGTTTGCTGGTGTGTTTTCAGAGACTATAACTTCCAAACTGGGTTTATTCTCAACAAGAACCTGTCTCCGCTATCCTGCAACTTACTATGTATCACAATACTCTGTATTAAACTATTATAACGTGTTACAAAAATTCTAAGCGACGAGCTCGTCGCTTCGAATTTTTGTAACACGTTATATTAGTTTAGTACAGAGTATTGTGATACATAGTAAGTTGCAGGATAGCGGAGAAAGGTTCGTGTCGAGAATAAACCCAGTTTGGAAGTTATAGTCTCTGAAAACGCACCAGCAAACCGTCCTGAGTGATTCACTCAGAGGTTCCTCCACACAAAAGGATACGCTCGCGTTGTAACCCTATCCTGTGTTTTGGGTTACATTATTGTATCTAATTACATATATGCAGAATCACAAGTGTAATGAATTGAGTGCCAATTCTAAACTATTGTCTGCAATCGGAACCACTAAAGTGCTAATGGTGGCAAGCTAATCATTATATCGAGCTCCACATCGACTGTAGCTGAAATATGTGGGAGATGTCCTTAGATTTAGTCTAATTGAGTGACTATTTTTTGTGTTAGCCAACTACTATGTACAGTTTCTCCTTATTGAGTCACACATCTTTATAATTTCAGAGTGGACATAGTCCTAGTCACAGTGGCGGCCCCTATAATCAGCAGAGCAAGAGCCAATCACCTCAAAACTTCCCTCCAGGCGTAAGTATCGTCTGTGCCACAAAACTCCCCTTGTCTCTGTAAAAACAAGACTGATTACTTAGTGACTAGGTGAAATATTTTAGTTTTTAGTTGGTCTTTTGTTCATGATGGCAGTGAATGAGCGTGGTAAGATTAAGCAGACGAATGTAAAGGTATTTACCAATGTAGTAGCTGATGTGCAGCAGCACATGCATGCGCTCACTCATCTTACTCTTCGCCGTACATGTTACGGCAAACGAATGCACTTCTATTCGATTCAAGTGTCTATGTATAAAACTTGACGTTAGATGCCAAACGGATTTGAACCAGTTTCTTTCCAATGATGTTTGATGTGTAATGATAGCATTGTTGGAGGCTTCTAACCCCCTACAGTGGGATGTCTTTTTACTTACCTGATTTATTCTGGGAGTTTATTTTTGCTTTTGCAGTCACACCTACAGCCTCAGTCTCCTCAGCAGGACTTTTCAGGACTGTTGGCGCAAGGGACCACTCAAAAGGGCAGTCTTCGAAAGAAGGATGTATGTATATTTGTGTTGGTGATAAGAGAACACGAGTGTTTTGAAGAGGCAGATCGAGGACTACCAAGTTTATCTACCTGCTGGTTTATCTGCAGCACGTAGTTCAATAACAGTGTCATGGTCATTCAGTAGGGCGTGTTTATACACCTTTACACGCAAACACGTCTGTCGGACTTTCTTGAAGAAATCCTGACTCGAATTTTTATTCAGAGTAATAATTAGTTTACGACGTCTCTTTCTTTCAGCACATGCAGCCACAGTCACCACTCCAGCAGCAGTTTGCCAGCTTTCCTCAGCTGTCTGTTAGCAACAACATGCAGTCATCCAACTCCAATCACGATTATGCGTCGATGGGGGGGATACCAAGCCACCTACACACGCGGACTGCACATAAACAGATACAGGTACATTCACACGTGCAATCCATGCGTGGTTGCTATTTGCGCTGTTTATTCTAGTGATCTCGCTCAACTAGCTCTGTATTTAAATATATTTTTAGCAATTGGCTAAATGTATGAAAAAGTCACTCCTTGCATGATTGCATGTGGAGTTTTTCCCCGAGTCTCATGAGTGTCTCTCCCGGCTGCCAGAGTATGAAAGCCTGTGAAGGGCCGAATGGATTTGATCAATAAACATAAAAACTGATACAGCGCTGACTTGTCGTTGCCTCTTCATGCAGACGGACATGACAATGCGAAGTTTGGTAGATCTGGAGGCTCAGTCGTCTACAGAGCTACAGCAACGCGACACGAAGATCGAGGAGATGATGAGGGTGAGATATAGTCTGCCGACCACTCACACAACGACGCAGCAGCACAGCTTTACTTCACCCACAATTAGCAAAATTAACGGGTACGCCCGCAGATCAAAATTGTTTCGCCGACGCTCGTCGGTCGCCACGACATTTGCGCGTTGACGTTAATGGTTTCTGCACGCAGTCGAACGACGAATTGAAGAGGCAACTGACAGCTCAGCAGAAACTGGTCGAACGGCAGAAGGAGTCTCTAAATAAGTGTGTCGACATGAACAAGACTCTGCTAATAGAAAAGGTATATTGATTGTGGGCACTGCCATCACATTTTCCAATAAATTTGCTCGGATGCATTCCCTGGACAGAACCTTGGATTTATGGATTTCTTCCGTTTGTCTGTATGCTTACTGAATCTTGTATTTATTGGGCTTTTGGTAAATACGATGAGTTTACAATGTCTCATGAAGTAGTTTTTCTCAGATAACGTGTTTTAAATGTAAGGACTGCCTGCAAACGGACTGACTGTCCGTTTTATATATCATACCATTGATTGATCTTTATCTTGACTTGCTGATAATCTTATTAGAAAATTTTGGAATCTGGTGCTTCTATATATTGTATATGGTGTGTACTATTATGTTGTCGTTTTAGGTGAAAATGGAGAAGCAGGCAGCACGGCAGAAGTGCATGGCTAACAGGCTACGTCTAGGACAGTTTGTCACGCAGCGGCAGGGAGCAACGTTTGTCGAAAACTGGGTTGACGGATATTCCTTTACAGAAATAATTAAGTATGTGCGCATGCATATCTTTGACTGATTTTTCCTCGTTCCTTCCTTTACAGCTTCATATGGTCACGTATGTGTCTTATCTGATTCCTAAGAAATTAGGGAATCGTGCTTCTTTCATATATGATTCAAATTAATTTTGCAAACTCATTGTGTTTTGTGAAGTACTGTTAGAGAAAACAAATACTCCATCATCATATTTCTTTGAGTCTTCTGTTCTGCAGTACAGAACAGATCACGGCATGTTTCCACTTGAAACCTTGTTAATGCACAATTCTTCCTCACAGTGATGGCATCCCCTGTCCATCGCAGCGAATGACGGTCGTTGTGTTGGTTATATATTTCAGACAACAGGAGTCGATAGCTCAGCATCGAGAGGACATAGAGAAGATGAGGAAGCAGCTCGTTAAGCGAAGGCAGGCCAGCGACGCCGTCTCCTCCGTCAAGCAGCCAAAGACGACCAAGAAGATAAACGGGCCGGCAGGCAACGAGGAATTCATCGTGCCTCAGTCACTCAGCCTCAAGGAATGGTAGGTGCACACATACACACTGCCACCGACGACGACGGTGTACATGGTTCAAACACGTCGAGTGGGTAATCGTCGTTGCGAAATTGCGTACTGCTGTGTGTGTGGAAGGGTAAGCAGGTGTGTGTGCATGTGCAGGTGTGCGTGTTGTCATTGTTGTGAAGGTAGGTAGATGGGCCCGGAGTTCGACCCAATTCCTACCTCCCGTCACTAGTTAGTCGGTTCGCATCATAGATGTGGATATGGAATTCGTTATCTACATCAGAGGAAATGGGTGGAACCTTACATTAGGTGAAATAAAAGTAACTCTGGCTTTACTCGCCGCTGAGTGAAGCTGCTTGCACGGATGTGTGCGTGCGTGCGTGCGTGCGTGCGTGCGTGTGTGGGTGCGTGCGTGCGTGCGTGCGTGCGTGCGTGCGTGCGTGCGTGTGTGTGTGACAGGTTGCCGTCACTGACGTACGTCTTGCCTTCGCAGCATGACAGGGTCGGATTTATACGAGCAGGACGAGATCCTTAAACTACGGGCAGCAACACTAAAGAAAGAAGACATGGAGTTGCAGATGGAGATGGAGAAGCTGGAGAGAGAACGAAACTTGCACATCAGGGAACTCAAACGTATCCATAACGAGGACCAGTCTAGGTAGGCTGTCATCTCTGTTCGGCTTTCCTTTATTTATCCCCCCTGATATTTAGCAGTTGTCAGGTTAGGTACGCGAGTGAAATCTGAGTGTAATTCAATGAGAAAATCTTTCAGGTAGGAATGAAAGCAGAAGGTTTAGATTGCCTCTATGATTTCTAATAATAATGATGGTGATGATGATAATGGTGGTCATGAAACATAACTATATGTATTAAAGCTATCAAAGCTTTTTATAAAGAAATAATTAAGTTATTACGTGTACATGTTAATGTTAATGTTTTGTACTTGTGTGCCAGCAGATTCAATGATAACCAAGTCCTACACGATCGATATCTGCTTTTAACACTCTTAGGGAAAGGTGGATTCTCAGAAGTGCATAAAGTGAGTAGTGAATCTAGTGGCTTCATTCCTTTTTCAAACTGCTGTTGTAAACGAACCTAGTTATGAACGTGCAACATTGCACCCCATTATTAGGTATAACACTCATGTGGCAGAGTGAAAATTTACCAATCTATAACATGGATATAATATTCGTATTAACGTAGGCGTTACTATCTTATGGGAAGTGAAATGTGACATCATGCTGCATGGGTAATATGCTGACACTGACGGTCGATCGCCTGTAATGTAAACCGCATCGTATTTTTCTCGAAGGCGTTTGATCTAAGGGAGCAGCGATACGTGGCTTGTAAAATACATCAACTGAATAAAGACTGGAAAGATGACAAGAAGGCAAATTATATCAAGTAAGAAATGTCAGCAGCAGTTCCGTCTCCATTTGTTAAGCGTTTGTCACTAGTGATTGTATCAGCAGAGATGCCAACCACTACAATTTATCCGTATTTTATACGAATTTCTATTCTTTTTGCACCACTACGACCAGTTTGTATCAAACTACGAATTTCACTGTGATAAAAAAAAAAAATTTAATTATTGTTATTTTTTGTCAATTTATTGTCATTTATGACCCTGAGAATGCAGGAAATTGCATCTCAGAATCAAAAAATTTTATGGGGGGCATGCCGGACCCCCCTAGCAAACTCCGGTCACTACGTGACCCTCGAACTACTAATTTGATGGCCAGAAACTACAGATTGCTTCAAATACGTGTTGGCATCTCTGTATCAGGCTTTGTGCTTGTAATTGCTGGCTATTATATTCCGCCATATATGTCTGTTCTGTACATATTGTCTTGCTCTGTACAATCACTGCCAGCCTCCTATCACACATTGGTGTTCACACATTGTATAATAAATTATACTCCACAATAACAAACATGCTGCTCTCTAACGTAAGCTTATCTATGAACAAATGTGCAAGTCATCATTTCGATAGCGTTTGCCTGTGACAGAATCATCAACATAGCACTGGTTCATCTTGAGATGCACATTTCAAGTAACGATAAAACGTAATTAAGATAGGTGAAAACGTCCATATGACATATCAACATAACACTCATTACTAGCTTAATAACCTTCTCCATGTTTGTGCATTGTAGTAATGATTGGTATGGGTTCTTCATAATTGTGATTTGTTCCCCTTGCAGGCATGCGTTGAGAGAGTACAACATTCACAAGTCGCTGCATCATGCGAGGATTGTCCAGCTTCACGACGTGTTTGAGATTGATCAGAACTCGTAAGTATTCCCCCCTTCCATGTTGCCGTGCCCTCGCGCATCGTGCTGGGGCTGGCCCCTCCCCCATGTTGCCGTGCCCCCGCGCATCGTGCTGGGGGTGGCCCTCCCCCCATGTTGCCGTGCCCCCGCGCATCGTGCTGGGGCTGGGCTGCATGATGGATGCCATCGTAGGCTCTATTAGCTATACGTTCTACGTTACGAAACATATACGTGTAGCTTGCTCGTGTGGGGATCGCAACGATTACATGTAACTATGTTTACATGACATGTATGAGTGCGGATACGAGAGGAGTACACATATGAACTGAAAACCATTCATTACACATGTAATTGGGGTGGGGTGGGGGGGTTACATGTACAGATATCTTTATATGCAACAGAGCTTACGTGATGTAAAAATATGTCTACAGCTATCAGGATTTGCATGATGTATCAACACATCAGAGGTTACATGATGTGTTATAGGTTTCTTGTTTTCTTCCTTGTGTGAAGGATTCCATAACATGTACAGATATGTCTACATGTATCAAGGATTATATGACATATCCATATATGTCTACTTATATCGAGGACTCCATTAACATGGACAGATATGTCTACATGTATCGAGGATTATATAACATGTACAAATATGTCTACACGAATGAGGGATTATGTAATATGTATTATGTAATATGTACACTACAGCTACAACTACATGTAACATGGATTACATGAAGTGCATAAGCATTGTCTCCATATAACAAGAAATACATGACAGATGGTGTGGTCCAGAATATCTACATGAAGGCTCTTTACACGTTGCATGAGTTCCTTTATGTCAGTTCTTTCCTGGGGATTTTCAAAATTGGGAAAGCTATGGTGTTACACATTTTATTCGTTGGGAATTCACGTCCAAAACTTTCGTGACTGAAGCGAAATGAAACAAGGTTTGCTGTCGTCTCTGATCTCTGTGTCATGCCTCGTTAACCTCGCTCGTGAGATGATGTTTCAGACACTATCACATCGTTCTGACCTCTCAGTGTCATGCCGCTGAACCTTGTCTCTTTCTGCTTCAGTGATCCTTCGTGGAAGGACTCACTGCCTCCCAAGAGGGCCTCGTTTCGTCCTACACTGCCACCTACAGGGTAGGAAAGAAAGCTTTGCAACACCCACACCCTTATTCCCATTTTGTCTGTCTTGCTAGCGAGGGGGTTAAAGCTTCCAACTGCAACCAAAGATAGGTTCAATCCCAAGAATGTATTGATATTAGTACTTGAGATTCAGAGTTGGATTTAATTATGTCATTAATGCATTCAGCCACAGAATGTACACGTAACACTAACAGTACTGGCCTCTGGAACATAATTATTACATACATTACCTCTCGTGTTGTCATTGCCAATCCACTCTGCTCATCTACGTCCAAGCAGGTGTCTTTGATCACGCATGCACGCACGGACGTACACACACGCATGACGTGGGACATAGCATGTAACACTGGGTTTCTTAAGGATACTCTCCACGTTGTGCATGAAATTTCATCGATTTTTCGTTTTCAACTTTATTCGATGGCTAACACTATGTGCCATCTGTGTACATGCTCATTTCTCCATATAACGAACGGTACATGTGAACTGTCAGAGCGTTTTTGCTTGCCCGCGTACATGTGTAGTAAGCAGCGGCTGACGGAACATTTTACCAATTTAGTGGTGTCAGTTAGTCATGGATATGTCGCAGTAAGTACTAACAATAGATATATCACATACGTTCACCCATTTTGCACACAGGCGGTCACTCATTGTGAAAAATAGAAAAACCCTCATTTCTCCGTTTCGATTTCTGACATAGTAGCCGATGTATAAATGGATATTTCTCTGTGATTACAACTCGGATTAATTTAATTTTACACTCGTTTTAATGGTAACATATTGTGGTAAAGAAGTGCGTCAGGGATTGTTATTAAGTGCCGTACTTTATTAGTTATGTCTCTATTCGCTAAAATTTTCTATTTTAAACACAACTTGATTTTTAAGCAGTTTTTTTCCAGTTTTCTCGGTAAATGTGAAAATTAAAGAAAAATCCTGACGCACTATTTTGGTCCATATTGTGCTTAACATGTGGCAAAAATTTTGTATTCTCACTCTTTCTGGTAGTTGAGAAATATCCAAAATACCATTTTTACATAAAAATTTAAAATTTGTGTGGTAGCATAATTAGGTGCTGGAAATTTCATGAAATTTTTTGGCTTGAGCATAGAGATATACATCCTCTATAAATGAAACAAGTGATTGATTCGATACATTCGCCAATAAACGTTTAATCTTTACTAGAGCAATACCCATGCACAACGTGGAGAGTATCCTTAAATATGAGTCAGTCATATTACTAGACAATAGGGCTGTAGCGATCCACCGAAATCGAATCGGATCGCGATTCTCTTCTCTTGATCCGATCCTCGATATTTTTCCCCGTATTTTCGGTTCCACTTCGATACCACTTTTTTCCTGCAATAGCTGCGGCACTACGCTATATACTGTGGAGTGTTACTCACCAATGTTACTCAGCGGCTGTGCAGTGTATATATACTCTCTAGACTCTCTAGTCTATTCACCATTTAATATTCATTGGCAATTTCTAATAATTTATTATTGCAAAATAATGAAAATATCAAAAATAAGATAACATTTCAATATTTTGGGAATCGAATCGAAGGAATCAAATTGAGAGGCTAATATCGAGAACCGGATCGAATCGAGAGGCTTGTGTATCGTTACAGCCCTACTAGACAACGAGCGTCCAGTAAAGCGAAAAAGTCGAGTTTAGGATCTGTAGTGTAGTGTCTGGATAGAGAGCTTGGGAATCTCTGCTGCTTACATTGCAGATGATATCTTGCTGAAATTGTTGTGGTTTATGATGAAATGTTTGGGAAGTTGATGGCCATACTGAAGGTGAACTCCCACGTTACTTGTGCAAATAATTTGTATCGCGTGACAGCATAACCCATATAATTAATAAATTAAACTACAAGTGAATGTTGTAGTCCTAAAAAATAGACTAAAGGTGAGTAGAAAATCTAACCTGCATCTACTACTACCTGAAAGAAAATTCCAGCTCGAAATTTGCGATTAGAAAGGAGGTTTTGCGTCGTGTATGTTAGCCCATTGAGATCGTATGGCTAACATCTGTGTTATCTTTCGGGGGAGGCAAATGAGAAGCGACAAAGACAAATGCTATTCATAATTAGTATTTCACAAGTTATGCTTCCAAGGAGAGAAGCTGGTAATAAACCTAACCTCAAGAGCAAATCTTTAGTGTGCGTGTCATGCATGTAGAGGCAAGTATGAATGCACGAGCCTAAAATAATTAACCTATGTCAGATTTGATGATTTACGGTGGAAGCCACCTGTAATCTCCTGTACATTTTTTACTATTCCATTTGGTTGCCATGGTTACGTGATGGCATTATCGTATGTTACCTCGCGCTGCGATTCAACTCGCGCTGAGCAGGGAGGTGCATGCACGCACTTGTGTTTTTTTTCTCCGCAGTTTTTGTACGGTTCTGGAATACTGTGATGGAAACGACCTTGACTTCTACCTGAAACAGCACAAGCAGATCCCGGAGAAGGAGGCTCGCTCAATTATTATGCAGTGCGTGAGCGCGCTCAAGTACTTGAACGAGATTAAGCCACCGATTATTCACTACGACCTCAAACCCGGTGAGAGCAATTCATGCAACTATCCGTGATCTCCTATAAGAAAGAGTCTGTCTTGTGTTTCTCTGCGCTGTGACCATGGACGTGTTGACGCCGCTACCGTTTATTTGAGGGTAGTCGTGGTTAAACTGCTGCATTCAGCACATCTCCTGTTGTTGAACGATCATGCAGAATAGCATTCTCCATACGTTATAAATAAACCTAGCTTAGCATGAATTGTAACTTGGACAGTGTAATTTTGTAATGTCATACTGGCCTCCTCAGTGAAAGTTGTGTCTACTGTAGTACTGAATGCCTCCCTCGTGTAGTGGTTGAGACATATAGGTAACAGCAAGTTCGACGTGTGATTTCCACTGCATCTTCCACCGCTCTCTCTCTCTCACTTGTTTTTATCCCAATTCTATATGGTATTGCTCCCTCTGTTTTGCCATTTTTGTTCACCTTGTTTTGGTACTGTTTTTGCTTTTTCCCAAAACCTAGCCCCAAACATGCTCTATGCATTTACACACACTGTGTCTCCAACGTAGTAAATATGAAACAAGAGGAAGAAACTGGAGACAATAGAGAAAATTGACTGATAGTAGCTGGTGGTGGCGATGTAGAAACGATGAACATGGAGTCTAGCTCCTACGTACATGTTCCGTAATTTTACACAATTGATTGTCCTCAGGTAACATTTTGCTCGGAGCTGGTGCGTTAGCAGGCGAGGTCAAGATCACGGACTTTGGTCTGAGTAAAATAATGGATCCAGAGAACTACGACTCCGAGTCAGGCATGGACCTCACATCTCAGGGCGCAGGCACTTACTGGTGAGTGTGGTGTTTGTGTTAGCTTCACACGAGGAGATAAACTCCAACATGTGTGTCGTGCACGTGGATGTACGATATCTACGAAGTGCAGTTGAGAGTCAACAATGTTGTACAAAGTCTGACAGATAACTTCTTATAATTCCAAATATGTACTTCCTTATATACTATCCTCAATGCATCTCGCACTCTCGTGACACTGACATTCTGGTTTCTCGTAATATCGCATTCCACAAATAGAAACGTAGATAATTACACTCTAGTCTCTTCTCAATATACAAGCATTCACATCTCACGCCCTGCGTGAGTCAGCAGGGGTTACTGCGAATGCACACAATCGTATCGTGCAATCTATATATGCATTCTGACCCTGTGCACAGGGAGAAACCCCACAATCGCATGACAAGTCTAAGCATAACCTAACCTGTTTCCAGGCATGCCACCGTGGCTAATGCATGATAGACGTGTTAAAGGCCTACACTTGCTCCGACTACGTATACAATGATGTGCAAAGCATTACTAGTTTGAATGTGTATTTGTATTGCTGTAGAATATTAGCTACTCCTTGTAACCAATAGCATAAACAGGAGTCAGTTTCAATCTTGAGCATTGGTTGTCTGTGTAGTTTTGGAGGCCATGAGTGAGCCAAGAGAAGTTGATAACATCTTCCTTTCTTTGTTACAGGTATTTACCTCCAGAGTGCTTTGTTGTGGGCAAAGAACCACCAAAGATATCCAATAAGGTAGACGTGTGGAGTATAGGAGTCATATTCTACCAGTGTCTGTATGGTAAAAAGGTACGTATTACAGTTCATACTACCACCTTGGTTGTCAATCATTACTTAACATGCCTGACCGCGTGTTAGACAATGTATCACCAGGAGTTTCCCAATTCATTACCAGGTGTTTCTTGTATCCTTGCAACGCTTCGCTATACAATAAAAGCTGCATGTCAGTGAAATGTAGCAGGATGTTTTCTTCGGTGTGCATGTGTATTGGTGACTTTTTGTACGTGGTAAGGAGTAATAGCGAGAGTACTTTGTTGGGTGTGTTATTGCAGCCGTTTGGTCACAACCAGTCGCAGGCTACGATACTGGAGGAAAACACGATCCTTAAGGCAACACAGGTGGAATTTCCTGCCAAGCCACCTGTCAGTTCTGAAGCTAAGGTAAGCGACTTGCATGCGTACGACTTCAGTTTACATCGTACTTTTATTCGTTTCGTGCGGTTGTTTCTACTTTTGTTTATGTAACTGTTAGCTATACGTAATGCTTAACCATGACAATCGGGATGTAATTGGGATTCGCAAAAAGCATTTTCTCGGTTATCAAATAATAATGCAGTGCCTTGCATATTATAGCTGCATTAACCCTTGTCCGCTTGTTGGGTCGTTGCATGCGCGATGTGTGTCAAGCGTGTATGCTAGTCGTGCAGATGCACGTGTTTGTGGAATATCGCTGAATCGTCTCACCTTCCCCCCCCTCTCTCTCTCCTCTCTCGCTACCAGAACTTTATCCGGAAGTGCCTGGCCTACCGCAAGGAGGAGCGTACGGACGTGTTAGACATGGCCGTCGACACGTACATCAGGCCTCCGCGGCGCGGCGCCGACAAGGAGCGGGGATCGAGCGGTCAGCAGCAGGACGGCGTCACCTTTGCCGTGCCGTCCAGCGCCGCCAGCATGACGAGCGTAGGTCGTGGCCCGGCCGGCGCTCTATAGTGATCGGGGCGCCCCCTGGCGTTGTCTCGCGCGCGCACGCCGGGGGACCCCATCGTCGCGTTTGTACATAAATTTGTGATTATTATTATTGCGCATGTGCTGTGTAAGCACCTGTGTAAGCACCTGTGTAAGGCGCTGTGTAAGGTGCTGTGTAAGCACCTGGCCGTTTCATTCGAGAATTCAAACTGTGAGTGTGGCACTGCTGTAGGAGTGGTTAAACTGCTAGGGTGGGGAGCGGGAGGGGTAGCGGGAGGGAGTGAGGGGAGCTCGTCTCTGTCTCGGGTAAACCAAGACCATGTGTATTATAGTCAAGTGAAATGGCCACTGGTTGTAAAGTGGTTGTTTTGGTAATGCTTTGCATCGAAGCATTTCTGTTTATAACAGAGACTGGCGCTAGTATTGCTGGTTTTGTTTCATGGAACTATCTATCAATAGAATTACCTTTCAACAATTACAATATAATAACGGTTAACCACGCTAAACGTTCTTATCGAGAAACTTGTCAAGCCGATGCAGGCAGTGGGATTCTACACAGTATTGCCGGTTGTTATTAGATAGCACTTTTTGTCCGGTATTACAGAAAAGTTACAGTTAACGTGCAGGTGACAGGGAATGAATCGTTAATCGTATGATTTCCTCAGGCTACAACTGAAAGAGATGTTAACGTGCACTGCAACTCTTCGAGACAAATTGTGGCGGAAATTGCCCCTATTTCTACTCCATTGTGTCACGAATACTGTGCGCGCTGAGTGTGGAGGGGGGGCTCAGGAACAAAACTCATCGACAAGCATGACAAAGTTTTCTTCGGCTGCTATAACATTGGTTTTCTACTGAAGAAAGGTCATCCTTAATAGAGACAGCAAAATGGCCCTAAATGCAAACGATATAACGGAGCATGGGTCACACGTTTTACCTTTTATGGTGGTTGCGGTGACTGATCCAACTGCTGCACGGCCTCTATGATGCTTCTAAAGGATCCATGTCAGCAAGTTAACGGAAGTTCTCCACGGGAAGTTTGTTTAATCGCTACTTCTCGTTTGTTGTGAATTAAGAGTGTCGCACGCCTGCCCCATCGTGAAACCTGCGTCGCAATGAAGCCATGTTCCATCTGTTCTGCTTGCCAGTTTATCCAGAGCTTGATGTCGAGGGCCGCATGTGTGATAGTTTGTGGACAATGAAGTTGATGAGAAGGTGTGTGCAACAGTGCGTGTGAGAGAATGAGGCACGCATCATGATGAGTGTATGTCTGTAGAACGATCGTAGTAAGGCGGTGTTGCACTGTTCGATTGCACGTACTTGGTTCACTATGAAAGAGGCGAATTGTACACATAATCTCTTGCAAGCTTGTAACTTGCAATGCTCACAGGCAGAGTGTTTCATTTCTTCACACCTTCTATGTATGGCATAAATGGCACAATGTTATTGTTGTATATATGTAAAGTTGAGTGCAGGTGTATCGTCAGCGAAGAGTGAGAAATCCAACTTTGCGCCCTTTCCCGGTAATTGTAGGGTCAGAAACCCTGTGGCTACCGACTCATTTCTAGGACTGACTTATAAGGAGGGTTTATAACTAAGGCAGTACATGTACAACACCAGGAGTTCAGCACATCCAGATTCAGGATTGTGCAGTCTGTGTTGGGGGCGGGCGGGCGGGGAGGGGGGAGGGTATAGCGTAAATCCACGGTGGAAGAATCTACATCTAGACTGGAGAGGACATGTTGTCGTGTTGATGAGCTCTGTGATTTATCGGTACTTAATATTATTGCATCAGGGCGGCAAGCATGCCTGCTCAGCACGCACGGCAACGACTCACGGAGCCACTACTACTGGCTGCTGATCCGCTAGTGTCACCCTCCAGTTAGCTGGGAATTCTTGAAGTGGGTGGTAGCCTTGCGTACATGACACGCGTGCGTGTATGTGTGCGTATGCGTGTGCGTGAGTGAACGAGTGAACGGAATGTATTTCGTGAAGGGGAACTATATTTATATGTGATAGTTTTGTACTATTCGTGCGAGCGTAGTGGCGGGTATTTAGCGGGGTTAAAGTTGTGGTTCGTTTCCGTAAATTCCGCATCTCTTCGGCAGTATGTGCTGTGTATGCATTCGATGGTGGAAGGTCCTTCATCATGTTCTTTCCTCGCACGTGCGTGTGTGCGTGCGTGTATGTGCGTGAGTTTGTGTGTGTGTGCCGGGTAATAATATGTCTATTCTGTGATACTTGTGTGAATATTGGGCCCGATTTCTCTCTCGACTGGCAAGCAGACAGTTGGAACCGTTTCGAACCCGAGGCCCCCGACCTAGTACGTGCGCACGTGAACGACAATGATTCTTCATGTACGTGCTGTCGCTGCCCAGAGATGGCGCCACAGTTTACCCGGTGTAGTTGTTAATTCTGGCTGTGTTAGCAGCACCAACACAGCTAAGCGAGATCTGTGAGCATGACAAACCGCCCCATCACCTGCCAGACAACACGTCACGATTCTCGAGTAACTCCAGATATAACACGTCTTCTCACACGATATAACACTAACTGTCTTACTACTCGCCGACAGCAGCAGCAGCACACCAGGGGGCGCTGACGTGTATATTAGCACTGGTCTGTATCGGCTCGAGAACCCCTGTACGTCGCCTTTCACCTCTGTATGCGTCTGCACTGTCGCTAAAGGTTCTACACGACTATTAAAGATGCTTTGTAGTAGCGTGGTCGGTATCAACTGTAAGGGTTTCTTCTGTCTGTCGTACTGGGGCGATCACGCTGGGGGGGTGGGGTGCTGTCAGACACATCGCGGCTGGCTACACGTCACACCAAGGCGTCTGTCAACAGTGGAGTGTTCGGCAGCCTACTGTGACGTCACGGCGAAGCAGGTGAGGTCACAGTGAAGCAGGCAGGAGTAAGCTGCTTATCTTTCTCTCTAGATCTCTCGTTCTTTCTCTCTCTGTCGCGCGCGCTCTTGCTATCTCGCTATCTGTGCACGGCTGCTCTAGGAAATTTTATCAACGCTTAGCGTGGTAGTGGTGATACAGTGGAGAAACGGTGGTTGCCATGTTCATCTGTGTCCCGGTTCGTGGTTTCTAGGGAGATGCGTGGAGGGGGGGGGGAGTAGTAGGATCAAACTGACTGTTGACGTCTTGTGAAAGTTCACTCGGGAAATTCCTTCTTCAAACTATGATAAAATTATATCACAGCTTTTATTCCAAATGCAGAATAATGATGTAAGTACTTATGCAAGCACAGCTTTCTGTTTTTGCACAAGGAACAGAAGTATTTATGGAAACAGCCATATTTAATTAAATCTCGATGTGTAAAATGCATACCTTTTCATTTTAATCACTGTATAATTTGTGAAAGCAAACTGTAGTTATGCCTCCAAGTTTTGGGAAAGTAAAGATTTATTTTCTTTTGAAAAAAAGACAGGTTTTCTGACATTTCTTCATTATTCTCCAGCCACAAAATATCATTACCGGACAATTAAGTACGACAATAGTTGAATGAGATCGACTTGATACAATCACGGCTCATGGCGGCTGTGTAGCGAGCGATTCACTAGGACACAGTAAGAACCAGTGGCCGAGCAAAAGGCCTACACGTGTACAGCTAGGCACATAATAGCTGTCAGGGAAAGTGCCCTAACCTAAAACAATAAAATTTCATAATCGAATTATCTATCATAAGTGAACGAGTCACGAGTGGTCTTCCCATGGCCATCATCTCACGTTATAATATTGACACAATCACACGATGCATTACCAAGGAGCTTTAACAAACAGTTTAACCATAGTGAAAGACTTGTATTAAAAAATTGTCTTAAAATACTTGCACGTGACAAATGTATATAATGGCGTCCTTGCAGCCAGCAGCCTTGCAGCCAAATCTAGTCTTATTAACCCATTGCATTCTACACAGTGAAGATGAATAACATAACCTATAAGTCAAATCAAGCTCTGGCAAATAAAAACTTATTCACAACAAAATATCTAAGCTAGGCTGATATGTAAATTTCACCAACTATCTACATCACGTGAAATGCCTACAAATCACTCACAATTTTTAAGGCAGCTTCTTACAAGGGCTATAATATAATATATCCTGTATTCCTGTATATGTAAATGAATGGGAAAACTTGCAAATGGTCTATTGGAGATTTATAATCAAAATACTTTTACTTCGAGTATACGAACATGGCGTTCACGTGTCCCCCTGTACATAGAACCAGGCTTGCTCATGATTACTGTTCAGACCCTTCACACACACACTAGCCTGGACACCTGAGGTTACCTCAATTATAACTGCAGTCAGAAAAGGTATTCATTATTACACATAAAATTACGCATACACTGTGTTTCGCGCACCGTGCAGTGTAGTAATACTTCTACATTAGAAATCAACTTGCTCAACTAAATAAACAATAGATTGCGCAGTTAGTGCTTGTAAAAAGTTATGATTTCAATAGATTCAATCATTTAAAATATATCTAGCAATCACAAGCGACAGTCACATGTTACCAGCAAGGTGTCACGTGCTTACGATATCATCAATTGTCTCCATTTCCTTAGGCCACATGCCAGCAATGTGACATTTCAGAGGGATACCTTGATCAACACCAATCATTCTTATACCAACATCAGTCATTAATTAGGACAGGTGGTTCCATAAAGAAATTACAAAGTGTGTAGCTGAGATTTCTGACATAGTAGGGTTTTCCTCTAGCACAAGTTACTACGATGAACGACAGATTTTGGTAGACTGTTCGAGAGATGTCTTTTAAATGAGCCATTTTAATCAAAAGGCAATGAGATTGGGTCAATACAAGTAACTTTACAATAATATGATTATTAAAAATAAAAATATTCTTATCATATACATATACTTAATACAACCATATGAACACACAACATACTTTATCTTTATCAACACCAGGCAGATCTTCATATTGTTTTTTATAGATGTAATATGGAGCCATGATAAATACAATATAAATACGTCGTGAACATTGTAATACGGCATGAAGCAATGACAAACACGATGTTTACACGTCAACCGCATTACCATGGCAACGCGTCACCGCTACGCCGTGGGATTCAAGCTGCGCTCGGACAGGAACATGTCCGCCTGTCGCTCCGTTACCATGACAGCATCGTTCAGCTTCTCAGGTGGCAAGCAGGACGCCTTCAGCTTCTCAAAGTGGAACAGGTGACCTCTGACCTTTCGTGAATAGATGGTGTATGAGAGCCAGCCGAAAGCGACAAACAGGAAGGAGAGGATGATGAGGACGCCGAACTGGTGCGGACTCGGCAGCAGGATGACTAGTATGAACTTCAACATGTCCATGCACATGTTGAGCGAATGCTGCACGCCGTTGACAATGCCTATCTCTGTCTCGCTAACGTTCTCCTGCAGGATCTGAGTCATCGACAGATCGATCTGCCACAGTCCTGCAGCAGAGAGAGAGAGAAGGGGAAAGAGAAATGCATTAGAATTTAAGCATTTATACACAGACATGTACACGTGCAAGCAACACACACACGCACATGCACTCGTGCACACACGTATGCACGCACGCACACGCACACGCACACGCACACACACACACATATCAAGAGCTGATAAAACATGCCTTCCAGGTGCATGAATGCATGCATCAACTTAGATATTGTGCAGACAGCCCCACACAGTTCCGTGCCCTTCTGTAAATATGTTCATATGAATGTCAACAGAGGCACATTCAAATCGCAGTGATAGAGTAATCAAAGCCGACGCTGTAATCTGTATGATACGCACGGGAATTCGATGCAGGGAGAAACACAACTCACCAAATCGTGACAGAACAGTTCCCACGAGGAACAGTATGATGGAAATTTGAACGCTTGGAACACTGACGCCTGGCATGGAGGTAGCCACCTGCCCCTCAACAGTCGTGGCTGACGGTGATGCAGTCGTAAAGACGTAGTCTTCCTCACTGACGTTAAACGAACTACTGCTGTCGCCCATTAGAACAGACTTGTCGCGTAAGCTCTTCCGGACGGGCAAGGAGTCGTTCCGCTCTGTGACCGTCTCAACATGACTCAGGTTGAAAGGCGTTCCAGGCGCCCACACAGATGCCAGGCATATAACCAGCATGCTCAGCTGCAAGATAGCAACGTATAACAAACACTTGCAGAGGCACGGTTAATTGATGCTAAATTTAACAGGTAAGTAAATTGTGCGGGCCATTTACGAGCTTGGCCCAACATTGCGATCGATTACGTAGACCTAATAACAACTATGGAAAGTCTGCAACAAAATTTAAGGATGTCCACGGACAGTTGAGAAGAGGAAATTTTCGCAAAACATTTTACACGCCCTCCACATCATCAGCAAGCGTGTGCTAAATGCACCGGCAAGATCATTTCACCGAAGAGGTGGCAATCTCAGCTCATGTCGATACGAAAATATTTGAATGGAGACATTCCAGATAATCCACGTGACGGTCAACCTACTTGAAAGAAGAAGGCGAATAGGCCGGTGCGCTCTACACCAATTCTCCTGCGGACGAACGGGTAACAGATGGTCCCCAGAATGCCTGTCACTGATCCCAGAGCCATCATGATGCTGAGCATGGACTCTGATAAGCCCTGACTGTAGGCATAACCTGCAAATTCACAACATAGTAGCTGAAGGTTTATTTTTGACAAGAATTAAGTCTCAGAGATTAGCCTTGGCAACATTTCACTGCGAATCACTAGGTATTATATTATATATAATAATATGCGATATTAATATATTATTTATATGTTATTGCATTAATATATTATTTTCATTATTATCATTATTATTTTCAAGTCCTTTTACTTGCTCAACAAAGATCAAGATTATCTAACACGTGACAGCTAATAGTATATGTCACCTGAAGGGCAAGGGCAAATTAAGTTTAGGTACTAAAATAATTTTCTGATGGGATACAGGTTGGTCAATTACCTATTGTTACACTATCAAAGCCAATCACTGTCATGTAGAGCAAAGCAAGCCCGATGCCAGCTGGTGCCACACAGTGGTGCAAGTACGTGTACCAGGCATTATACCACGCAACGAACACCGAGCACTTTCCACCCCAGCAAACTGTCGAGGAATCAATGCAGATCGCACGTATAAAACCAGAATAGCAACCTCAAAATCTAGCAAATACTATCAAGCCTACAATGGTAAATGAAAAAATATGTCATGCTCTCAATAAAGCTTTTGTCACTTAACTCAATACATTTTATTTTAACATTATTACTAATCAGAATTTTTTAAAGACTGCTATGACTTATCGTTAACACTATTCATACCTTTGTCTTTGCGACTCTGCAGCTTCACTACAGTTTCTTTGTATGGTAGATCATCTTGATCTGTTGTCAGAGCCAGGATTCCTCCACTATACGCTGGAACGTCATCGACTGGGGAAAAATCGCCTTCAAGAACAGATAGTATGTGCTTAGTGAGCAATTCCGTAGCATTAAACGAGTCCCACAAAATAAACTTTTACTTCATGCATTTTACAGTCAGGAATTTAAGTTAGAATCAGAGTCACCTCTATAGCACAAAGGTCACCGGAAGCCCTATTATGTGCACGCTGATAATTTTACCTCTGTCCTCTTGGTCTTTGTGTCTATCTAACGGAATCTTCACTGACGATGATTCTCCGCTATTAATGTAGGATACTCGCTGTCCTTCTGCCTGTAAAGTGCATGGCTTTGCCTCCCCCGTGTCAGTAGAGCAGCCATTATTGTCCCTGCCTTCAGCGGACATTAGAGCCTTGTGTTCAGGTGTAGGAAGTGGCTCGCTCTGGGGGTCAATTGCTCCAGCATTATCAGTGCCTACTGTAAGACAGTTTGACATGCAGTTTTAAACCAAAAACTAGAAACGCGGGGGTATGCATTTTCAGTGACCAGTAAAAACTATAGTCCAATAAAATGACAAGATGAAATGTTGTGAGACCATGCATTACCACGACGTAATAATATAATGTAGTTTTCCATAACTGCTAAGTATTTGCTGCATCCGTAGAAGTAAAAAATCGTGACCGCATTATTATACCTTTGGTTTTTGTCAATCTCAGGTTCTTCACTGCCAGCTGTGGGAAACTCTTGTACAGCATCCATATTAACCAGTACTCTGCAGCCATGGAAACAACGTTCCAGCCAGCGATGGCGATGCAGCTGATCTTTATTGATGCATACGTCATCAGCTGTCCCACGACAATGGGAGCGAGGATGTTGGTTGTCAGATCAATCCTACGCATCCACGCATTGATGTCTACAGAGTAAATAACGATAACCTATAATATCACACATTACATATCAATCCCATCTTTCCTTGTATGAACTGGTACATTCTTGATGGCTACTGAAACCTGAATCAGGCTACTGCACGAAATACGCATTCAGAAAAACGTGTAACGAATATTTTTCACTATTAACTTAAAATGGTACAGTTGATTCTAAAAAGAACATGAGCCTCAAATGAATGACACTTATGAAATATACAGGGTTTTTGACATACACATGACATCGCTTTAAAAACCAAGTAACACCATCTACAGCGATATTGGAAAACAGATAATAAGAAAGAGATTACTAACTTGCAAGCTTGGACTTGTTACCGGCGACTATGACAACCACCCAATCACGTTGCATACTGATCTGCATTGCCATGGACGACAGTTGACTGACGATCGCTAGAGCTATGATCACAGCCTCAAACAGATACATTGCCCATGCGTTTCCCGGTTCCCGGAGAATCTCCGTGTACCGCATCAGTATAAGGATGCTGAGCGCATTGATGCAGATGGTGAAGTTATTGATGAATAGAGAGTAGCGTATGACTGGAAAGAAAACAAACAACAGATATTTTGTCTCTCTGTTAAAATTAATATAAGGAAAATTATGTTTTATCAATTACCTTAAGTAAAGCACAAGATATCTGAATGACAGCAACACAGGAAAAGTTATTGAAGTCTTGTTATTTCGTCTACCTTTCAGTCTCGGTGTCCGATCAACCCAGTCACCAACAACAGCTGCGAGAATGAGGATGCAGAGGCCATTTGCAAAACCATACGTTGCTACTAAACGCAAAGATTCCTGAGACAATATCACCAGGAATAGTCCAACGGAAAATTTCCACATTCTGTCTCCCTGAAACAAGTGAAAACTAGTATGATGAAATAGGCATTCCAGGAAACGATATTCTGAATGACGTTTGTGAATTTAGCAACAGGCATCGTAAGAAGAAAGGTAAGTGATAATAGCACAATTTATGTGTCTATAGAATGTGCTATATTATAGTATTATACTATACTATACTGTGTTTACATGTTCCCTCTATAGATATGTTCATGCTAGGCTAAGTACATTACTATTGATTGAAACGTTGAAATACATGAGAAATTACTATCAGTATTTATAGCTACAAGTAAATATTTATGCATTTTATGCAATGCAATTAAAAGTTGTATGCTTAAATGTATATATGTACCCATGAGGACATTGTGTGTGCGAGATATAGTGGCCATATCTCTTTAACCTCTGATGAACCTTGATTCTTTGTTGATTCTGGTGTTCCTATAACAAACGACTCCAATTCACAAATATTTCTTTTCAATAATTATATCAATGATATATTATTTCACTGCTAGCTTGATTTGAAATCCTGTGTGACAACACTTAACTCTATATCCTTAAAATGATATTATATATGTATAACGTTACTGTCGTTACATAATGAGGAGTACGTGAGGCACATTTGTTACATTATAGTTGAGTTAATTGTTCTACCTCCATTTTCATCGGTAGTATCATTACTTCTACTTGTAACAATTGGCCTCTCATTGGTATGCTCATTCCCAACATCACTTTCCCGAGCCAAGTCCTCGTCAGCCATCCTGTACTGCAACAATAAACAGTAACACTACGGTTTAAAGATGCCGTCGTAGCCTAGTGGTTAGGCCACGTATACTGTCCACTGAAGGCTGTGAGTTCAATCCCCGGCCGGGGCAGTAAATTTTATCAAGGTGTAAAAACCTGTCCCTCAACATTGGAGACTGTGAATCTCACGTGGCTCGGATGACCACGTAAAATGGCGGTCCCGTCTCCAGTAATACGAAAGGCAAATGAGGACGTAAAAGAACCACTGAGGGCGCAAAAACAAACTCTGGCTGTGACCACCCTCAGTGCCATTCGCTGTAGCTATATAGCGCTGTTGATTCAAAGATAGAGATGATGTCCAGGACGGTGATAGGATAGGATGATGTTTATTACTGGACATGCTCTCTCTCCTTGAGCCGCGCTGTTGGCGGACAGAAAGGAGTGGCGACCCCTACAGAAAGAAATAATAACAACTTCCCGAGGAAACTCGAAATAATAATTATTATTATTATTATTAACACTACGGTTAAAAATAAATGTATAAAACTATCAACAAAGCTAACTGTCAGTACATTGATTACACGTGATACAATACGACTATAACGAATTCTTCACAGTCCAGGAGCCTGCAATCCAGCAGGAGAGAGTCCAACATTGCTCAGCTCGACAAAGTGCCACCGGTTACACCGGCCGTGTAGGTAACTAAGGTAGTAGTACTAGTAGTACGATAGTACTAGTAGGACTACTACTACTAGTACTACTACTACTACTACTAGTAGTACTAGTACCCACTGTACTGTGTAGTGTGTACGGTACAGTATAAAAAGTTTCCATTTTCATTTTCCCAACACTGAGCGCTAGACTAGTGAGTAGTGAATCGGTTTAAGACCTCTTTACATATCAGACATATCACAAACATCGTGGTAAAACTTACGTATGGTTAGCCTCAGCTTGAGCTTTTCACAACGTTTTGCGATCAGCGATACAAACTAACATCGGTTCACATTGTTTTTATTTTCTCTAGACTTCGCTCGCCACTAGATGGTGCTGTCGATACCAGCGCCATCGTGCGGCGCGGTGTGTGCACTGATCTAATCATCTAACAAGTTTGTCAGATCAATAAATAAAAGTAAAAAAGTACTAATAAGTACATGGAAATACATTTAAATTAAAATAAATAGTATTACCACCCAATTTAGCTTTAGCAACATAAGTTGTCCTGCATCAAATTAATATTATAGCAACTGTCACTAACTATGCTTTTGCTCCAACTGTGGTGTGATACTCCATTACGCATTAGGAGTGTTAGTGTTCCCAACTTTAATGTCATTAATGGTCATAATAACATATATATATATATACATGGTCATGGTCATATATTAGTTTGTGGTTTAATGTCATTTAGGTTAGGGTTAGGGTTATCAATCATTAATCATTAATGATATCAAAGTTGGGAACTCCTAATGGAGCATTAGCCCAACTGCGCCAGTAATCGAATTCTTTTGTCATTTAGCAATAAGCAAATTTTCTGCATCAAAATAGAGCTTGAGAGTTACAGAAATATTAATATAATAAGAAATAGAAATTCCAGTCTATGTGAATTAATTTTAATGCGCATAATTAAAAACACAGGTGACAAAGATGGAACATACATCTAATCATGTATTTATTGATTGCTTTATTTACTACAATGTCAACTGACATTTCTACATTCATCTAAAATTGTAATTTGTTAAACATCATAATATGAACATAGATTAACCAATGTACTACAACAGTTACTAATAAAGGGAAACTTTTAAAACATTATTTAGTAAAGTTAACACTAACGATAGCAAAGCAAACATTACAGTAGAAATTTTTGCCAGATGTCTAAAGAAAGGATTGGATGCCACTGTTCCTCTACCTAATGCTATTGTTTAAAAACTGCACGAAAGCAGGACCGATTTTGTTGATATCCATCGGATGAGTCTTGGTGTATGATATAAACCGTCTTCGATGCCCACGCAGCTCCGCCATGCTCATCGTCTTAACTAACTCAACTTTCTCCTCAGAACTTGGTACGTGAACGCTGTCGCCGACGACACTGGTTTTCTGCGAATCCAACACGCAAGCGACAATGCCTTGCGTCACTCTATCGAGCTCGTACACAAAGTTCGTAGACGACAGTGGCTGGGACTGCGTTGCCATGTTCGGAGGTGGTGCTTTTCGCTGGAGAAGAGCATCACATATGAGATGACACTGCATTGCGTCCCCCGGATGAACGGAGAACAGCGGCGAGTCCCAGCGATGGCGTCCGTCCGGCGTCTCGAACCTTGCGACGATGTTGTGTAGGATGTCGTCATCATACCTCTCAGCCTCCGCCCGCGCTCCATTCCACGCGGCAGCAACGGTCTCCGCTGCGTCGCAGTGCACCACGCAACTCGGCGTCTGTGCGGCCTTGGCAACGCAGAACAGTTCGTAACGAAAGCCCTTGATGTAGTTTAGTGAGTCGAGGATCACGACAGCATGTCTGTCGATCGTGCGCTGCACTGCGGCCTTCAGTGCCGCCCGGTGCTCCTTCTCCTGCCTCGCATCGGCAAACACCAAGTTCCGATCGACACCGAGCGTGTGATCGCTGATGAGATGCACGCAATTCTCAGGATGCTCTCTAAACAGATACTGCTGCAGCTCTGCTGCCCGAGAGCTCTTTCCACTGCTAGGGAAGCCGCAGAAAATCACCAGCGGCATGTTCTTTCAATGTTTTGTATACGATATAGTTGCACTTCAATGGAAAAAAAATCAGATGGAATTCTTTTGTATGGCAATGAAATGCCTATCTTTGGAATACTCCTATATTATTCGCTGATCTGAAATTATAAATGCATATATTGTATAGTACTTGTGTTATTGTAGACACTGCATGTGACAATACTACATAAGGCCGACCTAAAAATTACCTTTGGTTCGGGTCACCCGCCCG